CCCTGGTACCCAAAATAAGCCCAGATCCCCCTGAAATCCCCCCAGAACCCCCTGAAATTGCCCCAGAACCTCCAGAAATGCCCCCAGAACCCCCTGAAATTGCCCCAGAACCCCCTGAGATCCTCCCAAAACCCCCTGAGATCCCCCTGAAATGCCCCCAGGACCCCCCAGGCGCCAGCCCCACCTGGATGGAGTTGCCCTGGTACTTGTGGTACTCGGTGTTGGCCTTGAGGTCGTCGATGTCGATGGTGGGCAGCCCCGAGATGAGCAGCTCCAGCTCCTGCTCCGTGAAGATGGAGATGAGGCGCTTGGGGATGATCTCGTAGAACCCTTCCAGGAACGCCGCCAGCTGCTTCCGGATGGCGCCTGCGGGATTTTGGGGGGGTCAGGGGGGTCCCGGGAGCACCCCCGGAGCCCCCCCGGCCCCGACGCTCACCGGTCATGCGCATCTGGCACACGAGGTGCACGTACTCCTTCTTGTTCTCCTCCGTCACCAGCACGTTGGCCCCGTTGGGCTTCAGGTCCCGCACCTCACACACCCCAAATTCCTGCACCTGGGGGGATACGGGGGGTCAGCAGGGAGTGGGGACATCCCTGAGCCTCAAACAACCCAAATTTCCACATTTCTGAACCTCAAGCACCCCAAATTCCTGCACCTGGGGGGGCACGGGGGGTCAGCAGGGTCTGGGGACATCCCTGAGCCTCAAACAACCCAAATTCCTGCACCTCGGGGGGATACAGGGGGGTCAGCAGGGTGTGGGGACATCCCTGAGCATTGAACACCCCAAATTCCTGCACCTGGGGGGCACGGGGGGTCAGCAGGGAGTGGGGACGTCCTTGAGCCTCAAACAACCCAAATTTCCACATTTCTGAACCTCAAGCACCCCAAATTCCTGCACCTCCGGGGGTACAGGGGGTCAGCAGGGTGTGGGGGCACAGAGGACACAACCCTGAACCTCGCACACCCCTGTGGTCCTGGAAAGGTCTGGGTGCTCTCAGGGGGTCCCAGGGAGGTCCTGCTGCTGGATTTGGGGGGTCCCAGTGCCCTCAGGAGTTCCTGGGGGGGGTCCTGGTGCTGGTTTGGGGGTCTTGGGAGGGCCCCAGTGCTGGTTTTGGGGGTCCTATGGGGGTCCCAGTGCTGGTTTTGGGGTCCTGGTGCTGGTTGTGGGGGTCCCAGGGAGGGTCCTGGTGCTGGTTTTGGGGGTCCTGGGAGTCCCAGTGCTGGTTTTGGGGTCTTGGGAGGGTCCCAGTGCTGGTTTTGTGGGTCCTATGGGGGTCCCGGTGCTGGTTTTGGGGTCCCAGTGCTGGTTTTGGGGGTCCCAGAGGGGTCCTGGGGGTCCCCACCTCGGTGCTGAAGGTGAGGTCGTAGCCCAGCGTGGAGACGTCGTTCTCCAGCAGGTACACGAGGCCCTGGTAGAAGTGATAGTCCTCGCTCTCCATGTCCGTGTACCTGGGGGGCCAAAAACGGGGGGCAGCGCCCCAGAAATGGGGTCAGGAACCACGGGGAGCCCCAAAAATGGGGTCAGACCCTGCTGGGAGCCCCAAAAATGGGGTCAGACCCTGCCAGGGCTCCAGAACCCCATAAATGCAGTCTCACGCCCCTCTGAGGGGGTCCAGCACCCCAAAAAAGGCTCCAATTTTCTCCAAGGGAATCCAGCACCCCATAAATGTTGTCCCACAGCCCTCTAAGGGTGTCCAGCACCCCCATAAATGGCTCCAAGTGACTTTTGAAGGGTGTCCAGCACCCTGTAACTCCAGCACCCCACAAATGCAGTGCCACACCCCATGAACACAGTCCCAGCCCTCCCTGAGGGGCTCCAGCACCCCAAAAACAGCTCCCAGCCCCAAAAACAGCTCCTACACCCCACAAACAGCTCCTACACCCCACAAACACACTCCTACACCCCACAACAGCTCCCACATCCCCACAAACACACTCCCAACCCCACAAACACACTCCCAACCCCACAAACACACTCCCACACCCCACAAACACACTCCTACACCCCACAAACACACTCCTACACCCCACAAACACACTCCTACACCCCACAAACACACTCCCACACCCCGCAAACACACTCCTACACCCCACAAACACACTCCTACACCCCACAAACACACTCCCACACCCCGCAAACACACTCCCACACCCCACAAACACACTCCTACACCCCACAAACACACTCCCACCCCACAAACACACTCCCACACCCCACAAACACACTCCT